AGAGCGAAGTGCTCTGTTAGGAACATAAGGAACAATCAGATCTCTGATATAAGATGGAGCTTGGCCATTTAAGGCTTTATATGTGAGAAGGAGGATTTTAAATTCTATTCTGGATTTAACAGGAAGCCAATGAAGAGAAGCCAGGATAGGAGAGATATGATCTCTCTTTTTCATTTTCATTAGAACTCTGGCTGCAGCATTTTGGATCAGCTGAAGGCTTTTAACTACAGTTTGTGGACTTCCTGATAGTAAAGAATTACAATAGTCCAGCCTTGAAGTAACAAATGCATGGACTAGTTTCTCAGCATCACCCCTGGACAGGATATTTCTAATTTTTGCAATGTTCCTCAGATGAAAGAAGGAAATTCTAGAAACCTCTTTGATATGGGATTTAAATGACAGGTCCTGATCAAAAATAACACCAAGATTTTTTACTTTATTATCTGAAATCAGTTTAATCCCATCCAAATGAAGTGACTGGCTAATCAGTTTCTTTTTCAGAGACTCTGGTCCAAAGACTATAACTTCTGTTTTGTCTGCATTCAGAAGCAGAAAATTAAGAGTCATCCAGGTTTTTATGTCTTCAAGACATGCCTGTAATCTATGTAATGGGTTAGCTTCATCTGGATTTATAGACAGATATAGCTGGGTATCATCATATTAATGAGGAGAAGTATGCTGCTCTTGCTTTACAAAGGCTCCTCTTATACAGCAGTAAACCATTTTTCCAGACTAGGAAGGACTCCCGCAGGCCTGTGGAGCGATATTTTCTCTCCAGTTTCCTAGCATTTTGCTTCAAAGTACGCAGCTCTGCATTAAACCAAGGAGCAAGCTTTCTATTTTAATGGTTTTCATTTTCAAAGGAGCTGCGTTGTCTAAGGCAATACGCAGAGAACTAGCAACCCCATCAACAAAATCATCAACCTGTGAAGGGGAATAAGCTAAGCTTTTGCACTCTGCAGCACTGCTCAGTGACACAGAGCAGAGAGAAAGTGAAGCAGATTCTTTAAAATTTTTAACTGCACTATCTGATAAAGATCTACTAAAATTGAACCTTCTTTTGGGGGAGGAGAACTCTGTTAAAGTAATCCTGAAGGTTATTAGAAAGTGGTCAGAGAGGACAGGGTTGTGAGGAAATACTGTTATTTCTTCACATTCTATGCCGTATGTCAGCACAAGATCCAAAGTATGAAGATGAGAATGCGTGGGACTATTCACATTTTGAACAAAGCCAACAGTGTCTAAGATAGCATTAAAGGCTGCTCTTAAGCTATCGCCTTCAATGTCAGCATGGATGTTAAAATCTCCCACTATGATGACCCTGTCAGTATTTAATACCAAATCAGAAAGGAACTCTGAAAACTCATCTAAAAATTCAGAGTAAGGACCTGGTGGACAATACAAAGTTACAAAAAGAAGAGGTTTTCTTGCCTTGAAATTTGGATCAGGGAAATTAAGGGTTAAATGTTCAAAAGAGTTGTAGGTATTAATTGTTTTGGGAGTAATCAGTAAGTCAGACTGGAAGATTGTTGCTACTCCTCCTCCTCGCCCAGAACTTCTGGGGATGTGAAAATTTAAATAGCTTGAAGGAGTTGCCTCATTTATGCTCACATAATCCTCTTGCTGCAGCCAGGTTTCTGTAAGGCAAAACAAGTCAATGTGATTATCACAAATCAAGTCATTAACTAGTAGACTTTTAGAGGAAAGCGATCTTATGTTAAACAGACCGCATTTAATTGTTTTAACTTTTTCCCCAATTGGAGTTATTTTGATTTTAATTAGATTATCATGATTTACTCCTTTGGGAATCTTTGCTAATTTATTAGAGTTTGGTCGTGGGCAAGACACTGTCTGGATGGAGTAAAGAGTGGGTAACAGTAGAGAAGCTGCAGAGATGTGTGTTAAACTACAACTCTGCTTCCTGGTCTGCACCCTGGGTGGTCAGGGTTTTGGAGGACTAATAAATGTGGCCAGATTCCTAGAAAGAAGAGCTGCACCATCCAAAGTGGGATGGATGCCGTCTCTCCGAATCAGACCAGGCTTTCCCCAAAAGGATTGCCAATTATTAATGTAGCCCACGTTGTTTTCAGGGCACCACCTAGACAACCAGCGGTTGAATGACGACATGCGGCTAAACATGTCATCACTGGTCAGATCAGGGAGGGGACCAGAGAAAATTACGGAGTCCGACATTTTTTTGGCAAACTTACACACCGAAGCTACACTAATTTTAGTGACCTCCGATCGGCGTAACCGGGTGTCATTACCACCAGCGTGAATAACAATCTTACTGTATTTAACCTTATCCTTAGCCAGTAGTTTCAGGGAGGATTTGATGTCGCCCGTTCTGGCCCCCGGCAAACATTTGACTATGGTCCCTGGTGTCTCTAATGCCACGTTTCTGACTATGGAGCTGCCAATCACCAGAGTGGGCTTCTCAGTGGGTGTGTCACTGAGTGGGGAAAACCAGTTAGAAACGTGAACGGGTTGGTGGTGACCAGTGGGCAGAGATCCACGACTACGCTTTCTGCATACAGTTACCCAATCGCCTGGCTGCTCAGGCACTTTTGGAGGACAGCTACGTGGGGGGCCTACTTTAACTCCTGGATGTTCAACAGCCTGAAGCCTGGATTCTAACTCTGACACCCTCGCCTCCAAAGCTACTAAAATACTACACTTATTACACATCCCATTATCACTAAAGGAGGCAGAGGAATAACTGAACATCTGACACAGAGAGCAGGAGAGAGGAGAGGAAGAAGGAAGAGTTGGAAAAGAGTCAAGGGAGGGAGAGAGAGAAGCCATAGCAATGCTAAGCTAGCACTAGCCTAGGCTAGCTACTCCTTGCTATCAGAAATAAAACCGTGTGAAACTGACAAGTGCTCAGTAGAAAAGTGCAGCAGAAGGTGCTATGTTTTAAAGTAGTCAGTTAGAGTTACTTAGATACAGAGATATCACAGAGAAAATAACTTAACTTCAGATGGAGATCCTCTGAACAGCTGCAACAGCTGCACACTCAGTTAATCCAAACAGGAAGTGAGGATTCAGGATTACTTTAACAGAGTTCTCCTCCCCCAAAAGAAGGTTCAATTTTAGTAGATCTTTATCAGATAGAGCAGGTATACATTTTAAAGAATCTGCTTCACTTTCTCTCTCCTCTGTGTCACTGAGCAGTGCTGCAGAGTGCAAAAGCTTAGCTTATTCCCCTTCACAGGTTGATGATTTTGTTGATGGGGTTGCTAGTTCTCTGCGTACTGCCTTAGACAACGCAGCTCCTTTGAAAATGAAAACCATTAAAATAGAAAGCTTGCTCCTTGGTTTAATGCAGAGCTGCGTACTTTGTTTAAATGGTTTACTGCTGTATAAGAGGACCCTTTGTAAAGCAAGAGCAGCATATTTTTGCTCATTAATAGAGGAGAATAAATAATCCTAGATTTCTCTTAATAAAGCTTCCAATCTAACCCAGAGCCATTGCTGTGTTGAACCGTCCATTCCACCATTCCACCTGCTCTTAACAGTAATGATTTTATGGGGGCGGGGGGGGTGGGTGGGGGGGCAGCATCTGAGGTAGTCATGGAATCTGAACCGGGTTTAGACTGCTTTGATCCAGTTGATCTCTCTGAATTAGCAAAACTATTGTCTTCATCTAAGCCTTCAACTTGTATGTTAGATCCAGTTCCAACCAGGTTATTTAAGGAGGTATTCCCTTTGATCTCCTCCTCCATTTTAGATGTGATTAATCTATCTCTGTTACAGGGATATGTACCTAAAGCTTTTAAGGTTGCTGGAATTAAACCTCTGCTTAAGAAACCGTCTCTTGACCCAGATGACTTGGTCAATTATAGACCTATATCCAATCTTCCTTTCTTATCTAAAATTCTTGAGAAAGTAGTTGCCAAACAAGTTTGCGATCACTTCCACCATAATGAACTTTTTGAAGAGTTTCAGTCTGGCTTTAGAGCTCATCATAGCACTGAAACAGCTCTGGTGAAAGTCACTAATGATATTCTCATGGCCTCAGATAATGGACTTGTATCTGTGCTCGTCCTGTTGGATCTCAGTGCTGCATTTGATCCAGTTGATCAGAATATTCTTTTAGAAAGACTTGAATATTTTGTTGGTATTAAAGGAACAGCTCTAGACTGGTTTAAATCTGATCTATCTGATCGATTTCAGTTTGTTCATGTTAATGATAGATCTTCCTCATGCTCAAAGGTTACCTGTGGAGTACCACTGCTGGAGGACATAGGGACCCCTTTTTCATCATTCTGCTTCATTCTATCTCTATTCTCCCACTCTGCAGAATCTGTTAGTTCAATCTCTAACGTTCTGCTCTCTCTGCTTTTTCTCATAGTAGCTTCATCTGGTCTGTTCCTGTTTGGCTGTGACTCCATCCTGGAGAGAAATATCAGCTGTGCTGCTGCCATCAACACCTTTGTTTCTAGATGTTGGAGCTTGGCCTGTTTTCCAGTGTAGTCCTGTTTCTCTGACCGTGACTGAGTGGATGTGCTCTCTTCATCCTCTGACATGGGAGCTGGCTCGGAGCTCGTCTCCCTGGCTGTGTGTTTCCTGGACGGGGCCGCCTGTGGAGCTGGTTGACAGTTGCCTTTTGTATCTATGCTTCTTTTTCTACGTCTGCTTCTGTCTCCTTGAACCCCAGTGGGCCTCAGCAGATGGCCGCTCACACTGAGCCTGGTTCTGCTGGAGGTTTCTTCCTGTTCAAAGGGAGTTTTTCCTCTCCACTGTCGCTCCAAGCATGATTAGTGTGAGGGATTGCTGAAGAGTCAATGAGTCGATGCAATCAGCTGGTTTTCCTTAGATAGAAAACTTTGAATCAATCTGACTGGATGATCTGGTGAACTGGAAAGTGACCTGAGATGACATGATGTGAATTGGAGCTATAGAAATAGACTGAATAGAAGTTAATTGAATGTGTCTGCAGTGGTGTTTTGTCTCCATCTTATGGTCAGAAAGAGAACAGTCTCATCTGTGTCCCTCAGGAATGGCGGTGGTCGCAGCGGCGTCTTCTGCAGCGTCAGCATCGTGTGTGAGATGCTGCGGCAGCAGCGCTGCGTTGATGTCTTCCACGCCGTGAAGACGCTCAGGAACAACAAACCAAACATGGTGGACCTGCTGGTAAGATGGAAGGAAGAGAACTTCCTCCTGCTTTTGCCACTACTTGCTTCTACTGAAGTAAACACACTTTTATAAAATGTCAAAGTGCTTCACATCCTGAGGTTCTGTACCTCACCTGGTTCCACCTGGTTCTACTTTAATAAAAAAATGACAGTAATCAGGGGCCAATTAGCAACATTTATCTCCTGGATGAAATTACACCACAAGACATTCCATCCATCCATCCATCATCCATCCATCCATCCATCCATCATCCATCCATCATCCATCCATCATCCATCCATCATCCATCCATCCATCATCCATCCATCATCCATCCATCCATCCATCCACCATCCATCCATCCATCCATCATCCATCCATCCATCCATCATCCACCATCCATCATCCATCCATCCATCCATCATCCATCCATCCATCCATCCATCCATCCATCATCCATCCATCCATCCATCATCCATCCATCCATCCATCCATCATCCATCCATCCATCCATCCATCCATCCATCCATCATCCATCCATCCATCCATCCATCCATCCATCATCCATCCATCCATCCATCCATCCATCCATCCATCCATCCATCCATCCATCATCCATCCATCCATCCATCCATCCATCCATCATCCATCCATCATCCATCCATCCATCCATCCATCCATCCATCCATCCATCCATCATCCATCATCCATCCTCCATTATTCTTTTTTTTTTACCTTGGTTTGAAGTATGATTATTATTAATATTATTATTATTTCATATTTTGTTTGATCATGTTTTATATTTTCTGTGTGTGAACAGGAACAGTATAAATTCTGTTATGAAGTTGCTCTGGAGTACCTGAATTCAGCTTAGCTTGGAGCAGAGCGTCCAGGCCCAGAGCATGACGGTGCCACTACTGACTGAAGGTTTTTGCACTGCCTGGTTAAACTGGAGCGTCTGGCGGCGAGGACGGCGCCGCTGATGGACATCCAGCGTTTCTCACCTTGTGTCTCTTTGTTGTCTTGTTTTTTATTGTGTTGTAAATCTGATGAGTTGAAACTTAAAAGACGAAGAAGACCTCAGACTTTGTCCAGCCTGGTGAGTGGGGCAATAAGGATCCAGATGGACCGGAGTCTGGTACCGCTGATGGAGCAGCTAACCGCTAACATTAAGCAGCAGTGGTTGAGAAGCTGCTGACGGACACTAAACACGGAGACTTCAGGTCTTCACGGGGTTCATCATCATCCTCAATAATCTAAATTTCCTGTTCTACTCTAAGTCTCCCAAACAACAGACAGTTTTTGTTGTTTTCTTGAGCTTTAAGAAGAAATTCTTCTTTTAAATTTTTATTCACATCAACCTTGAAAAGCTGCAGCAGAACCAAACGACGGGACCTGTTTAGTTTCTTTGAAATGATCCGTTCCGTGCGGCGTGGACCTGCGGATTGGTTCACTGCAGACATGATGGATTCATCTTTTCCAGCAGGATTTGTCTGCTTCTCTTCTTATTTATCAAAGGAAAAAAGTTTCCAAAGATTTCAGTTTCTCTGATTTTATCATTTATCTAAGGCCTGATGTCAGATTTTTGTTCATGATCACCTGCCACTTTGTTACCATGGAAACCAATAGAAATCGTCTGCCTGTAATTGGACCTTTTTTATACTGTAAATGATTTAAAGCTGCATAGTCATGTTATATACCCAACCATCGCATCACGATGTAATACGGTGCTGAACAACGTGCAGATAATCCATTTTGAGCCCAAATAGAATTCCTGCAACAAGCTTGATGAGCTGAAATTAATAGACGCTGCGCCATCTGCTGGCAGTACCACCGAACTACCAGCCATACAGCGACAATTGATGCAGCAATGTCCTGTGATGTCTGAGTGTAAAACAGAAGAACTTTATTAAATAAACTGATCGACAGCGTCTCCAGGTTCTAGACAGAACAGCCAAAGTCAGCCAAACTGGGAAAGAGCATCAAAGTCTTTACTGGGAGTTACTAACAGCTTAGCTGCTGTAGCCTGCTCCATTTTTACCCCCTTGTTCTTCATCGTTCCTTCTCTGTTACTGTAAATATAAGAAACTAAGCAGCGGGACCAAGTATTCGTTCAGTGATCTCACCAGCATGTAGATTTAAAAATATAGAACGGGACTATGCACCTTCAACACTTTGGTGTGATACGGTAACAAAAGATGCTAATATACTTTATTACTGGTCTGGTCAACACCAGTTCGACTTGGTCATAGCAGGCTTAAACCAGTTTAAATCAGGATTAAACCAGTTTAAACCAGGCCTTAAAAAGGTCAATTTAGCATCTTAACCAGTTTGTAATGGTTGCATCAGGCTCTAAACCGGTTTATAATGGTCGCATCAGGCTCTAAACCGGTTTATACTGGTCGCATCAGGCTCTAAACCGGTTTATACTGGTCGCATCAGGCTCTAAACCAGTTTATAATGGTCGCATCAGGCTCTAAACCGGTTTATACTGGTCGCATCAGGCTGTGAACCTGTTTGATACTGGTTGCATCAGGCTCTAAACTGGTTTGATACTGGTCACATCAGGCTCTAAACTGGTTTGATACTGGTCACATCAGGCTCTAAACCGGTTTATACTGGTCTAATCAGGCTCTAAACCAGTTTATACTGGTCGCATCAGGCTCTAAACCAGTTTATAATGGTCGCATCAGGCTCTAAACCGGTTTATACTGGTCGCATCAGGCTGTGAACCTGTTTGATACTGGTTGCATCAGGCTCTAAACTGGTTTGATACTGGTCACATCAGGCTCTAAACTGGTTTGATACTGGTCACATCAGGCTCTAAACCGGGTTATACTGGTCGCATCAGGCTCTAAACCGGTTTATACTGGTCGCATCAGGCTCTAAACCAGTTTATAATGGTCGCATCAGGCTCTAAACCGGTTTATACTGGTCGCATCAGGCTGTGAACCTGTTTGATACTGGTTGCATCAGGCTCTAAACTGGTTTGATACTGGTCACATCAGGCTCTAAACTGGTTTGATACTGGTCACATCAGGCTCTAAACCGGTTTATACTGGTCTAATCAGGCTCTAAACCAGTTTATACTGGTCGCATCAGGCTGTGAACCGGTTTATACTGGTCGCATCAGGCTCTAAACCGGTTTATACTGGTCGCATCAGGCTGTGAACCGGTTTATACTGGTCGCATCAGGCTCTAAACCAGTTTATACTGGTCGCATCAGGCTCTAAACCGGTTTATACTGGTCTAATCAGGCTCTAAACCAGTTTATACTGGTCGCATCAGGCTCTAAACCGGTTTATACTGGTCGCATCAGGCTCTAAACCGGATTATACTGGTCGCATCAGGCTCTAAACCGGTTTATACTGGTCGCATCAGGCTCTAAACCGGTTTATACTGGTCGCATCAGGCTCTAAACCAGTTTATAATGGTCGCATCAGGCTCTAAACCGGTTTATACTGGTCGCATCAGGCTGTGAACCTGTTTGATACTGGTTGCATCAGGCTCTAAACTGGTTTGATACTGGTCACATCAGGCTCTAAACTGGTTTGATACTGGTCACATCAGGCTCTAAACCGGTTTATACTGGTCTAATCAGGCTCTAAACCAGTTTATACTGGTCGCATCAGGCTCTAAACCAGTTTATAATGGTCGCATCAGGCTCTAAACCGGTTTATACTGGTCGCATCAGGCTGTGAACCTGTTTGATACTGGTTGCATCAGGCTCTAAACTGGTTTGATACTGGTCACATCAGGCTCTAAACTGGTTTGATACTGGTCACATCAGGCTCTAAACCGGGTTATACTGGTCGCATCAGGCTCTAAACCGGTTTATACTGGTCGCATCAGGCTCTAAACCAGTTTATAATGGTCGCATCAGGCTCTAAACCGGTTTATACTGGTCGCATCAGGCTGTGAACCTGTTTGATACTGGTTGCATCAGGCTCTAAACTGGTTTGATACTGGTCACATCAGGCTCTAAACTGGTTTGATACTGGTCACATCAGGCTCTAAACCGGTTTATACTGGTCTAATCAGGCTCTAAACCAGTTTATACTGGTCGCATCAGGCTGTGAACCGGTTTATACTGGTCGCATCAGGCTCTAAACCGGTTTATACTGGTCGCATCAGGCTGTGAACCGGTTTATACTGGTCGCGTCAGGCTCTAAACCAGTTTATACTGGTCGCATCAGGCTCTAAACCAGTTTATACTGGTCTAATCAGGCTCTAAACCAGTTTATACTGGTCGCATCAGGCTCTAAACCGGTTTATACTGGTCGCATCAGGCTCTAAACCGGTTTATACTGGTCGCATCAGGCTGTGAACCGGTTTATACTGGTCGCATCAGGCTGTGAACCGGTTTATACTGGTCGCATCAGGCTGTGAACCGGTTTATACTGGTCACATCAGGCTGTGAACCGGTTTATACTGGTCACATCAGGCTGTGAACCGGTTTATACTGGTCACATCATGCTGGAGATCGTTTAGGTTTCCTTGAAAACAGGCTCCACCCATTGATTAGGTGTGTGTAGGTACCTTTCTGACTGGGTTTGTCTGTGTTTAGACTGTTAGCTCTGATCTTCAGGCTGGGGGGTCATGCTCATGGTCATGTTTCGTATCACTGCACATTTGAAGCTAACTGGACGAACCTCTGCTCCCTCTCAGGTTCTGTTTTATGTGTTTAATTGTCAGCAGTTGCAGAGAGCTGCTGGCTGGTTCTGTTTCTGACTGCGATGGAGGGAGATGTTTATACTGTAAATAGCAGGAAGAATATTTATTCCTTCATTTGTTTCAGTGTTATTGTTGTTCTTGTAAAGCACACAGAGGCAGACAATCATGAAAGAAGATTTGAACGTTCCACCATCAGAACCGAAGCAAAGGATCCAGCCGTCATGGCAGAAGGTTCTGGATTGCTCTAAGTGTAACTTTGTTGTTGTGACTGAACCCTGTACATGTACAGCTCTGCTGCTGAACAGAACATTATCGTAATAAAAGCTTTTATTTATGTTGTATGATTCAAAAACTACAAATAAAACTATATAAACAGACATGATGTACCTGAGGATTTATGAACTGTGATCCGTGCTAGAACACAGGCAACTAACGTAGAAACGCTGTTCAATGCCACTAGAGGGTGCTGCTGCTGATGAGACTTATCGTGTCACTTCCTGTTTTGACTGCTTAGCGGCGCTGTTCGGGCTATCGTCCTTTTTTCTTTATCTCAGTAACTCTAAGGCCACCTCTCAATATGCGTTCTTGAACGTTCTCGTGACACGTCATCAGCCTCAGCCTGAGCACTGTTGTTGTTCTGGCCCCTCCCTCTTTACCCAGCATGCATCAGAGCAGACTTCTCCGTTCTCCAGACTGACAGCTGTCCCAGCATGCACTGCGGCAGCTTTCAATGGAGCGCCCCATTGAAAGTTAAAAGTTCTCTTTTCTGTTGCTGTTGTTCAAGAAAAATACATTTTAAGATCATTTGAGGCGAGAATATTAAACTTTAAGCTTCACTATACGGAACATTTACTGATTTAATGAGTAATTGAAAAAACTATTTACGAAGTTGAGAGGACCGCGGCAACCTGCGGACCTCCGAGGCTAACAGCAGTCAGGGCTAACGTTAGCCCGTCTGCAGCGGCCAGGGCTAACGTTAGCCCGTCTGCAGCGGCCAGGGCTAACGTTAGCCCGTCTGCAGCAGCCAGGGCTAACGTTAGCCCGTCTGCAGCGGCCAGGGCTAACGTTAGCCCGCCTGCAGCGGCCAGGGCTAACGTTAGCCCGTCTACAGCGGCCAGGGCTAACGTTAGCCCGTCTGCAGCAGCCAGGGCTAACGTTAGCCCGTCTGCAGCAGCCCTCTCTCTGCATAGCCGTGTGTGAAGGACCGCTGGCTCTGATGGAAGTTTTATTGTTGTATTTGTTAAAATATTCATTTGATTTGTGTTTATCTGACTGTGTTCATCATTATTCCTCCACTAAAAGTAAAAAAGTCATAATTTATTATAATCTAGAGACTATTAATAACAGGAGGTGAAATGCAGCTCCAGACGAGCTGCGCGTGCGGTGATGTCATCAGTATGCTGCTGTTCCAATTGACTCATATCTATGCTGTGGGCTCCTGTTCTCACCAAGTCCAGACTTTGCTGGGTTCTTCTCAAGAACGTACTTGGCGAGAACACAAGTCCGTACTCACATTCTAGTGAATGACAAACGTCCTAACTGTCCGGAATGAAAACATAGCGCCTTCTGCTGCACTTTTCTACTGGGCACTTGTCAGTTTCACACGGTTTTATTTCTGGTAGCAAGGAGTAGCTAGCCTAGGCTAGCGCTAGCTTAGCATAGCTATGGCTTCTCTCTCTCCCTCCCTTGACTCTTTTCCTTCTTCCTCTCCTCTCTCCTGCTCTCTGTGACAGATGTTCAATTATTCCTCTGCCTCCTTTAGTGATAATGGGATGTGTAATAAGTGTAGTATGTTTAGCCGCATGTTGTCATTCAACCGCTGGTTGTCTAGGTGGTGTCCTGAAAACAACGTGGGCTACATTAATAATTGGCAATCCTTTTGGGGAAAGCCTGGTCTGATTCAGAGAGACGGCATCCATCCCACTTTGGATGGTGCAGCTCTTCTTTCTAGGAATCTGGCCACATTTATTAGTCCTCCAAAACCCTGACCACCCAGGGTGCAGACCAGGAAGCAGAGTTGTAGTTTAACACACATCTCTGCAGCTTCTCTACTGTTACCCACTCTTTACTCCATCCAGACAGTGTCTTGCCCACGACCAAAATCTAATAAATTAGCAAAGATTCCCAAAGGAGTAAATCATGATAATCTAATTAAAATCAAAATAACTCCAATTGGGGAAAAAGTTAAAACGATTAAATGCGGTCTGTTTAACATAAGATCTCTTTCCTTTAAAAGTCTACTAGTTAATGACTTGATTTGTGATAATCACATTGACTTGTGTTGCCTTACAGAAACCTGGCTGCAGCAAGAGGATTATGTGAGCATAAATGAGGCAACTCCTTCAAGCTATTTAAATTTTCACATCCCCAGAAGTTCTGGGCGAGGAGGAGGAGTAGCAACAATCTTCCAGTCTGACTTACTGATTACTCCCAAAACAATTAATACCTACAACTCTTTGATCATTTAACCCTTAATTTCCCTGATCCTAATTTCAAGGCTAGAAAACCTCTTCTTTTTGTAACTTTGTATCGTCCACCAGGTCCTTACTCTGAATTTTTAGATGAGTTTTCAGAGTTCCTTTCTGATTTGGTATTAAATATTGACAGGGTCATCATAGTGGGAGATTTTAACATCCATGCTGACATTGAAGGCGATAGCTTAAGAGCAGCCTTTAATGCTATCTTAGACACTATTGGCTTTGTTCAAAATGTGAATAGTCCCACGCATTCTCATCTTCAGTTCTATTCAGTTTATTTCTATAGCTCCAATTCACATCAGGTCATCTCAGGTCACTTTATAGATCCAGTTCAACCAGATCATCCAGTCAGATTGATTCAAAGCCTGTTTGATGAAGCAGCTTTAACAAACTCAAATCCTCAACTCTAAACTGATCCAGCCAAAAGTCGGGAACTCTGAGTGTTCAGTTGCACAATATCAAAGATATTTTCAATTTTAACATAGATATGAAATAATATAACAAAACCTACAATAACTTAAAGATATGATTGTACTAAGTCATCAAATCAGTTTATTCTATCCAATCAGCTGCCTGTAGTGTCTTTAAATGTCCAGCAGGTGTCAGTATTCTGAGACAGAATCAATGCATCTATCTATCTATCTATCTATCTATCTATCTATCTATCTATCTATCTATCTATCTATCTATCTATCTGTCTGTCTGTCTGTCTGTCTGTCTGTCTGTCTGTCTGTCTGTCTGTCTGTCTGTCTGTCTGTCTGTCTATCTATCTCATTTCTATGCATAGAGTTATAGTCTTTTTCCAAGTTGTTTTCATTCGTTCATCCTTTATTTATTTATTGGTATCTTTTTTTTCTGAGCGGCTGTGAATAATCTAGTAATCATTGTGTCCCATCTATGTAGTGTGGTTCTACTCCAGCCTGGATGATCTTCTGCCTCAAACTCTTTTCCTTTTTCATCCATGAAGGATTATTTAAACCTTTTTCCTGTAGTCCTGCCGGTTGCCATGGTTACGCGTCGTCTCGTCGGCCGGCCCTTGTTGTGACGTCATTGCAATCGTGTAATTCCCGTAGAGTCCACAGGGGGCAGCAGAGGGCGGCCTGGCGGGAAACCTGAGCAGAAGAAGGAGGCAGAGGGAGGCCTTCTTCTGCTTCTGCTTCTGGTTCCG